GCCGGCGCAGGTCGCCAGGCAAACGTTGGGGTACTCTTTTTCGTTGAAGCCGCACACCGGGTCGTACTCGAAGCCGCATATGGCGTCCATGCAGGGGGCTGCCGGCGGCGGCAGTGGGCAGAAGCGCGCCAGGGGGGGAGTTAGGGGAAGAAAAAGAAACCCCGGGGGAAAAACACACAATGGCATGCGTCCATCCGCGATGCCGATCCGGAGCCTTTGGGGGGGAACAATTACGATGCGAAGGTACGGCACGGACTAACCGGTCGCCAAACACAGCCTGATCAGAATGAACTCTCCACATCCACACGGCCGTACACTATACACACACACACACACACGGCCACATCCACACACAAAGCAGCAGGAAAAATACAAAAAGACCCAACCCACCTTCGTCCTCGCAGGCGCCCTCGTACGCGATGCTAACATTCGCGCACTTCACTGCCTCGCACGGATTGTCGTACGTCTTGCCGTCGCTGCCGCACACGGGCCGTTGAAGGCGGCTGCAAAGACACACCGCACTGCCGTCTATCGGCCGCGGCAGCATCCCGGCCCCCTCCTCGCTGTCACAAGGCCCTCGTCGCGCGACGGTGACGTTGGCGCAGGCCGCCAAGCAGGAATTGTCGTACGTGCCGTTATCGGTACCGCATACGGGCGAGTATACGGCAGGGCACAGCGCCGTAGCGCACCCGTTTTCTGTGGTTGGTAGTTGGTGGTTGGCGGTTGACGACAGGCGTGGCAAATGGGAGGTGGGCAGTGGGGTTTAGCGCAGTGGCGACTTGGCGGAATAGTACCGAGATGGAAGACGGTTAGCGGTTGGGCCGTTGGGATGTTGCGGGCCGGTGTAGTTAAATGTTTGGATTTGATTGGGCAGGTGGTGCGTTACAGATTGCATGCGGGTGCCTACATTAACAGTAGCAGTAGCAGGAGTAGCAGTAGCAGAGTAACAGTAACAGTAGCAGGAGTAGCAACAGTAACAGTAGCAGCAGTAGCAGGAGTAACAGTAGCAGAGTAACAGTAACAGTAGCAGGAGTAGCAGGAGTAACAGTAGCAGCAGTAACAGTAGCAGCAGCAACAGCAGTAGCAGTGGTATGGTGATTAGCGTGGGCCGGGGCTTTTCTTAAGCTACATGCAGCTTCTGACTTATTACTGGGCCCGTATGCATGGATTCACCCTCCCTCCCTCCCTCCCTCCCCCCTCCCCCCTCCCCCCCGCCACACACCGGTAACTCCCATTAATGTGGGCTGTTCAAGTCCACTTCGCCCACGAACCAACCATCCCCTTGCACCCACCATCACAATCAACCCCTCATCATCACCCACCGTCCCCTTGCACCCACCATCACAATCAACCCCTCATCATCACACACCGTCCCCTTGCACCCACCATCAACGGAACACTCTCCGAGGTACGCCACGCTCACGCCGGCGCAAAAAACTGCCTTGCACGCATTGTCGTACGTCTTGCCGTTGCTACCGCACACGGGCTGATAATCATCAGGGCAGTTACACTGGCTCTCACCACAGACTCCCGTACTGACAACGGTCACTCCCGTACACGTCGCAGCGCAACGGTTGGGGTAGGTACGACCGTTGGCTCCGCATACGGGGCTGTAAACAGTCGAACATTGAAGTCGGGAGCAGCCGCTTGGGTCGGCACAACGACCCGTGTACTGCACCCATACCCCGGCACAGGTTGCCAAGCAAGGATTTAGGTACGTGTTGCCGTCGCTACCGCAGACAGGTTTGCTGTCGGTCGGGCACGAGGAACATCCGTCTGCAACGGCAGGCCTGCTCGGAGCCCAGGGCGGGATAGCGACGCCGCACTCGCCACGGTATTTGACCGCCACACCTACGCATGCTGCCAGGCACTTATTGTCGTACGTGCCGCCATCCTCGCCACACACTGGGTCGTACACCGCGGGGCAGACCGCCTGGCTGCAGTCGATGCGGATTGGGGGAGCTGCGGGGGAAAGAGGGGTTTCACGGTTCCGGGTGTGTGTGGGGGGGTGAGTGGATGGGGTGGGTGGGTTGGGGTGAGGGTTTTGAGGTTTTAGGGATTTAGGGCTGGATGCTAATTTTAGGAGTGAGTTCGAGTTAGCGAGTTTGTGCTTTGTGGGGGAACTTGGCTTGTATATTTGAAGAGTTATATGCTATACATGTTTTCACGTTTCTTGTGTTAAGATGAAGGGTGCATGTGCCAGAGTATGTGTATATATACATATTTGTTCGGCCTGCAGAAGGGAATTATGATGAACAGAGAGAACACTGCCCAGGAAGCGGAGTGTGTCGCCCCGAGCTTGGGTTGGGCGAAGATACGTGCCAATCAGTTTCCCTATCCTTCGAGCCATCTGTAGGGGAATGTCCCGTCCAATTCCCCGAAGAATCTCATTTATTAAACTTTTCAAACACACGCGTGCCGTTAAAGAAATATGACAGCAAAGGCAAAATACAAAGTAGTTACCAGGTATGCCTCATGGACAACATAGGGATTGCCTAAGTGCCAATAATCAATTGTGTGTGCGGCAATGTCTCAAGCCATCTTACAAGGTCTCGGCGTCCCGCATGCCCCTTCGGTAGATACGTCAAAGCCGGCACATTTTGCATGACAGCTGTTGTTAAAGGTTACTCCGCCAGCACATACTGGAGTAAGGGTGGAAGAGCATCCGCAGTCATTTGCCGTTGCCGACACTATTCGTTGTGACAGACTCCCTGAGCAGGTATAAGAGGATATCGTCAGAACAGTTGCAATCTTTATTGCTCACGGAGCAGTTGTGGTGCCGGCTATCAAGGGCTTAATCTCCACAAGTGCAAGTAACATGCAGTCGCGCGTGAGGAGGAGGACCTTAACAGCTGATTGTAGGAGACTTCACCTGTAAAAATGATGACGTAAGTAAGAGCTGCAATAACAATTGAGAGGTTCTTTGATTTGCTGAGGAACGCCATAGTTGGGACAGGCTGGCGCCGACGCACTATGGTCGACTACGCCAGGAGAACCAAGTTAAAAAGCTTAATTTCATAAATTGGCACACATGAGGTGAAGATAATGGAATGATGAGGCAAGGTATGGTAGCGAATGGGAAGCAACCTTGTTATTAAGTAGTCAGTAGCTACAAGACGCGACCCTAACGACGATAATGATTTTTTTTGAGGTATGATTTCCAAGTAAGCCTTTGTTATTTGAGAGCGGAGAGCTGTGTGCTGCTAATGTTTCTTTGCAACCGCCCGCTGGTACAGCCCTTTGCGCGCAAGCCGAAACCTGCCTCGCAGCTGCAGTCGTCGTACCGGCGCTCCGTTAACGACAGACCTGATGCCGTACAAAAAGGTTCAGCTGCCGCTCCGATAGCCCCTTCGCTTCCCCGCTACCCCTCCGCGCCGCAATGGGATGTCATGTTGCGTATGCAGGGGGCTGATCTCGCTTTTAGTACACAACTTTTAAATCCCGCTGAAGGTAGATTTTTCTCGGTCCCTTCCCTCGATCCCGTGCAAAAGTGACATGCGCTGGCCTTAGCCAAAAAACAGTAGCGGTACAAATTGTAAGAGAACGTTTAACTCGCCTCGTTTTCGATTGCTGACTGCTATATCACACCGCGCCCCGAGGACCGATGCGCCTGTGGCGTGTTACCGAAGGTAGGCCGCCGTGTCGCGCGCGCGTCTGTGCGCAACACGGCGCAACTGAACCTGTAGCACCGCCGCGCAAGGATGTTATTCCGGTAACTACCCAGCATAAGATACGCATCGCTGGCAAAGAATGATATCACGATGCCCTGCCTGACACAACGGCGGGGCCTTACAAAGCCTTGGTGGGCCACAGCCGTACAGGGGGTGGGCTAGGCAATGCCAGCCGGGCTGGCAGCAGCAGAGCTCAGACGCAGACCCTCTTGAGGTCAATCGATAACTGCTTAAGTTTGATGAAATGCAATTTATTACCTTTATCGCAGCTCATCGGAAGTGCGAGTTAGTATTTATACGTCACCGGAGCCGGGGTGCGGCTGATGGCAGCAACTTAAGCAATTTTAATTTCATGTTTGTCGATTGTGTTTGATAAAATTATGATGAAAACGATAGCGTTGTGGAAACCCTGATCGCTAAATACTTCGCGATGGTGATAGCCGCAATTTGTACATTGTGCAATCGAACAGCCTTTAAGGTATGATGCGAAATATCTTATTAAAACTTAAGGCGTGAATGCATAACTTCGGTGCCGTATAACAAGCGCGCGTCGCCGCGCCCTACCTGGCAAGGTACCAATAGGAAAATGTACTTTTCATTATCAACGCGATAATAAAGGCAGTTTGTCAGGAAAACTGCTACAGAGCGGTAAAAGGATACATTCTGCAACTGGCTCACAGCAACACGGAGGCTGTTGCTATATTATGTCCACACAGACAAAGCAGCTTTCAGAGTCAGTTGCTGCAGCACCAACAACGATTCATTCGTCAGTCGTCCTTGCCATCCTTCCCGCTTTGCCAGCTGTGTTCTCAGACCTCCAGCCAAAACTCTACCTTTCTTTACATGATGTGACACGACATAATATGGCGCAAGAGGATTCTGTCTGCCTCAACGCCGCCCTGCGGGGCTGAGCCCCACCTTGCAGCAGCACCAGATAAAGACTAGAGCGCGGTCGCGCGCGGCGTCCCTCTCAAGCCCCCCCTCCCTTCCCCCAACCTATTCCTAACTATAACGCCGGGGCGGGGCCGCGCCAACTGGGAGGGAGCTCAAACCCAAGTAGCCGGAACGTACGTACTGTAAAGAGACGCACAAGAGAAAAGGACGGAGGAAATAAAGACGGAAGGAGGGTAAAACAGGACACAATCCTAAGCCCTAAGAACGCACGAGGGTTGCCGGAATTCCCCCACCCGTCACTACCCCCACCCGTCACTACCCCCACACACAGACACACACCATCGCCAGCACCACCACGTCCGCAAAACAGCCCCACTTCACCCGTCCTCCCTCTTTTGAGTCTCTAGTGACACCAAATTGGACCGAATTCGATTAAAAGACTCCACACTCCAAGACCTTCAGTATGTCCGTTAGCTTAGCACCATGTCGTCATGTCGCCGGGGTTCCCTCGTCTTTACCCCTCTCCCCCCCACCCCCACCCCCCCACACACACACCCACACACACACCCACACACACGTATAAAACCGTCAGTCCGCGCCACTACGCCTCATTCGCCTCATTCACGTCGTTAGCCCTCCACTCACACTACAAAGCTTAGAACTCCCCTAACTGCCTAGTCAGGTGTGCGGAAGGTTTTCCGTACAGAGCCCGGAAACCATTGCACGAAGGGCCAAAGCACCTAGCCTCTCTCTCTCACACACACACGTGCACACACACTCTCTCTGTCTCTCTGTCTCATTCTCTCTATCTCTCACACACACGTACTCTCTCTCCCACACACAAACATAAATACATAGTTGCACACATAGCTCATCGTCTGCTTCTTTTGGTACGGAAACTCGTGTGAGCCATCTCGTGCTCGTCATCGCGATTTATCTGCTCGCATCTCGCGACGCTCATTTTTTCGCGGCACCAAAATGGCAACGACCCGGGAGCTGTCCAAACGGTGATGCCACCAACCAATCATCGTCACATCCACCGCCGCCTCACCCTCCTGCCGCCGCCTGCGGCGGCGGCAACGGACCCAGCTGCCGTACGAACCAGTACGGGATTGATATCCATGAGCCCTAGCAAACCAGACGCCACATTTACATTTTGGTCCTGAGCCTCCGTCGCCGTCGCCGCCGTTGTCATCGTCCCATCGGCAGCTGCTGCATCACCGCCCTCACCCCTGAGGACCGCCGCCGGGGCCGCCGGGGCCGGCGCCGCCACAGCGGCGCCGCCGCTGACACGGCCCCCCGCCGCCGCCGCCGCGGCCAGCTCGGCGAGCTCCGCCGCCGCCGCCGCGGCCACCTCCGGCGGCAGCGTCGTACAGTTGCCCCAGTGTGTGTGTTGCATGTTGTACGGACAGCCTTGGGACCCGGGTTTGAACGCCAACATGTTCAGCAGCCAGACCCTCTCACACTGCGGCTCTTGGAGTTGCTGAGACCCATACCTGTACACATTACAACACATACATACACACGCACAGGTCAGTTCCCTAAAAATCACACATACATACATACATACATACATACATACATACATACATACATACATACATACATACATACATACATACATACATACATACATACATACATACATACATACATACATACATACATACATATATGCCACACTCACACCCCAGCAGCAGCAGCAGCAGCAGCACCGCAACCACCACACCAACTGCCCCAGGGAGGAGGGAGGCAGGAGGGGGGTGGTGCAACGGGGATGGTGGAGAGAGGAGAACGGTTAAATTCTTGCTCCGGAATTATGCACCGTGCACGTGCACACACACACACACATGCACTTACATACATACGCGCTCACGATGGCGATGGATTATAGAACGGGTCGCAGGTGCTTCCCGCGCCGTCACTTCCCGTTCCCCCCTCCCCCACCCTCCCGCCCGCATCCGCCGCCTCCCAAACCCCTATTATACCCCCGACCCCTGTAGCCCTTTCCGTACTCTTCGTACATCCATACTGTCGTACCTACCTTCTCTGGTACACGCTGCTGGCCACGAATTGCTGCCGGCCCCAGCACTTCTCCCCGTTGGCGCCCTTGTGTGTCGTACCGGGTTCACCATCCCCCGACCGACCTTCTAAAAACATAAACCCAACCTAACGGGGGGGAGAGGACGCGGGGTGACACGGCCGTGTGTTTTTTAAGCGGGGGACATCAAAAACATGAGAACATGAATATGCAGTACAAATCAGCTGTACAAACTTTCAACCCAGGTACGGGTAGATGTACGAAACGACACAAGGGGGATCTGACGAAACACCCCGGGGGGGTGGATGGTGGGTGGGCGGGGAAGGGAGATGTGAAGGGAAGGGAGATGTGAAGGTAGGATGAAGGAAAGGTAGTAAAGCAAATTGGCTTGCACCCCTCCTTACATACGGCATCGCCGATAACCCTAACCCTAATTCCCCACAAACACCACAGTGCTAACGGTACGTGTGTCAGGATCGGTCAGGTACGACACAACACATACACACACATGTGCATGGGCGTCCTTAAATCTAAGCGCTGTTCAACCTTACCGCTAAAACATCCCCCCCCATTTCACCCCCCCCTACATCCCTCCCCATCCCCCGTACACCCCCCGTACACCACCCGTACACACGGACGCGACCCCCACCCCACCCCCCGGCCCACCTGCCAGCCGTCCATCCACACGCGGGTGCTCAGCTCCCAGTCGCCCCAGATGCCGCAGTCGCCCCGCCGGGACATCCCCTCCTCCAGACCGCCAACGTCCTCGTAGATGGAGGCGCGGATGGCCATGGGGGCGAAGTCCACCGTCTGCGTGTATGTATGTATGTGTGGGACAGGGGGCCATATCTTTACCCATGGCCGCTACCCGACGAAACCCTGCCTTCCCCGGTATTTCGGGGCACCCTCATCCAGTCACCCTAGTCAACTTCTCAGTGGATCGCTCAGGTTCAGCACCCACCACCGGCATCCAACGGAA